ATATATATATATATATTTGATATCTAGTGTTAACTCATTATAATGTTCTTTCAGATATACTCGAGTACGGATTAATGCTCCAACCACTAGTGTTGCAGGATTGGAGGATTCATGAAACACAAATGCTTAAAACAACAAATCAGAAATGTGTATTTCACCTGCCTGGCATATTTTATTGCTATAATTATAAAAAAAAATGGAATACTGAGACTCATTTTACCTTCAGTGTTAATATGTAACATGTGTTTTTACTTTGTTAATGGTCAACTATCACATTAAATATTTAAACACGTGAAGTTTCTTATCTTCATTTCATTATGTTGAGTTGAGATTTCATATCAGAGCTGCATTACAGTATGTGAAAAGAGCCGCAACAATTAGTCAACCAATGGATGGATAAAGTAATAATCAGTAAAGCTTTTGTTAATTGATTTGTCATTTTTCAAATAAGAAATGTCAAACTTTTCCCACTTCACTGATGATTTGTGAGGATTTGCTCCTTGGCTTTTCTTTGTTTTTGTTTTTTTTGTTTGTGTTTTTTTATCTTAGTTATTCTCAGCCTAAGGTGACAATAAATTGATTATAGTTGGTTTTTGGTGTGTTGGTCACAATTTATGGACTAATTTATTAATTGAGAACATATTTGGCACATTAATCATTGATGAAAATAACAGTCGGTAGTGCTATATTTTCTAAATGTCTGTGTTTTTCCACCCTCCTCAGTCAGTGTAGATGGCTCTGGACGGACGGCTTCCTTTGCACACTACAAAATGCAAATATTCTCTTTTTTTAAAAGTCAAATGTCACTTTTCTTTGCTCAATCCTGTCTCTTGTTCAGTCTCCAGACAAGCAGAGGGCGCTGGAGGAGACCAAGAACTACACCACCCCTAAGTTCTCTTGGCCAGCGTCGCCTACTGGATCACACACAACTGAGCCAAAAAACCAATTTTTCCTTGGCAAGGTATTGCCGACAATCCAGGCGTTTTCACACGCTTCCGCGCAACATGGATTTCCTCCATTTCAAACCAACATTCTTCCAACCATGGTCGGCGACTGACACACACAAATTACACACATTAGCTTTTTGCTCACATTCCAAGAATAATGATTACCCCACCTGTTCGGGTGCCGGATTTCATTATTTT